TTAACGGAAGATAACTTTAAAAGCCCTCAGTATATAGACAAGATATTCGCTCCATCCCTGTACGTTAAGCCGACGAAACGGCCCGGTGAACTCTCCTATGGATAACTAAAATTAATTATTATAATTTACTATAATATATTGTGTATAAATAGTTAATTCAATTCGAAGGATAGTCGATGGACTCGTTCGGGTTAAGTCACGACCGACGTGTACGCACTCCCGCGTGTATTTCTCAAAGTAGAAAGACCCACGTGAGTCGGTCGCCAAAAAGAATCATCAGCGATACTAAACGGGAAGTATAAATTGTAAAATTAACGGACGAATTGGACAAATGTGGCTCAGACTTGTGAAAGTAGATATACTCTCTCGAGTAATGACGTAACGAAAAATGTCAGAAATACACGTTAGGCGAGAACGAACGTTGAGGCTGACCAGATGAGAAAGAGAGAGACAGAGAAAGAGAGAAAGCGAAACAGGAGAATAAGAAAGGACAATGGGGTATAAGGGATGCGAATAAAACTGAAGTGTGAAAAGCAATGTATTATAGAATATACATATTATATATACAGGTATGTGAGCAGTAGGTATTTAGGGCCCGAAAGTACCGTTCGTTTCATTCATCTGCATTTTTCCCGTTCCCATCGCCGCGTTACACCACGTGGAAACCCTTTCCGCCCAAATTCCCGCATTCACGTGTGCCCCGGCATCATGATCGACACCTCGACAGCCCCCATGAAATCCCCAGCCCTTGGAATAACTTGGCCCGTGACCCTTCTGAACGCCCTCGAACCCTACAGTCCATACCTATAGCTATACCCTACGTGTATTCCCACCTACGATTCAGCTAACCTCTCTGGAAAGTCCTCCTAGCCTAACGTGACTTAATCTCCAAGGAGCCACACGCGGATCATTCATTCTCTCAAATGGTACTTTTTTGTCCTCTTTGGTTCTCGAGTCTTTCGCTACGTTATCGAGAACTTCAATAACGAAGCTTTAATCAACGTGTTTACACGGCGTTGTACAAAGTTTAATGATAATTTTCTTCTTACTTGTCCGACTTACGTTTCTTCTCTTTTCTTTTTTCTTCGTTTCTTATTTTTCATCACTCTTTTACCACTTAAGGGACGTTGTATACGATGAAAACTGTATGACCTGATCGATGTATAAGGAGTGTAAAATGATAATAAGGGAAAAATGTTAGATTTAGGATTAAATGTTCGACCATGCTTTTCGCGTAGTTTCGAACTCTTTTTATTTCCTTGGTGGTATTTTCCACGTTTTTCATTGACTCTTTCTTTTTTTTTTGACACCTCGAGACCATTTAAAATAAATATAATAGCGGCTATGCTGTCGAGGTGTTGTTACGCGTATCCGTCACATTCTCGCGATCGAATACGTCACTGAATACATCCTTTCAAGTGTGGGACCGATTTTACCGCGGTTTCAACTACACATTTACAAAAAGGTCACCTCGTGCGGCTTTGACGTTTTCCTTCGAGCTTATCGTAGCTTCGTCATGTTCGATCCGATTAATCACAGATTGCGATATCCACGTATATAAGAGTACATATACATACTCCGTGTCATACGCACGTAATATGCATTGTCTGACGTCACGTCGTACCGATTCCAGGGTACACAAGCACCGACCACAATTTCGTTCTCCACCGCGTATATACGTTCTGTTATTAATAAAATCCGTTGCGCTAGAAAAAAAAAAACATGGTGTACCTAGCGGTTATTACATTACATACCGGATAAGAGTAATCACGTTCTGCTACCGTAGTAATGGATCCTGTTCCCATTGATAATATTTTTTTCAACTTCTTTACACGATATTGTACCTAAACCATTTGGTAATAACCCATTGGTCGTTACATTCTCTGGTATACTTGTCAATATCATTTTTTGATCTTTTTTTTTGGTTCTCTTCTTCGGTGGTTTTTATTTTGTTATTTTCAATAGGATACACAGGTTCGTTATTTTTGTTTTCTTGCTCAAGCACCGGTTTAACGATCTTTAGCGTCGATTCCAATCAGCGGAACAAGATTCATCCACTCATCGAGCGTTCACATCCTATTCTTCCCTAATTCCAATCTAATCTCCAATCTAATAACATTTGTCTTTTATTCTCGCTCATTGAGAAGGAATAATATTCTATATTTCTACGTGATCCTTATTGCGCGCGCGTCCCTGATATACGTAAAATGTTTTTCAAGGTGAAATTTTTGAAAGGCATTTATAACAATACGAGAGAGAGGAAGTTTATTAAAAATTAAAGAGAGAGGTTGATTATACTATATGCGAGAGAGATGATTATGCGAAGAGAAAATGAATATGATTATAGCGATGTAAAACACAAGAAACGTGAAAAAGAAAGATAGAGAGAGAGAGAGAGAGGGAGAGATAGGACGTATCTCGCATAAGACACGTATCGCAAATACATATTTTGTGTATTTTTCGACGATCAGATTGTGATGTAATGATTATTAGGCGTCATGTATTTTGAGCGGCGAAGGAAACTAAAAAAAGTTATCGATATTTTCAATACGCCTGCATACACGCATTAACATTGTAAATTGTAATATCTTGTACCGCTGTGTTATCCTAGTACGTAGGTCCCAGCGTTCTTTTCTGTCGCAAGTGATTTTCGTAAAGTCTCTAACATGAACGCGGAATAAAATAAAAATTCGTACAGCAAGCGCTAAACGATATGGAACATAGAAAATTCGTTGTGACTTTTGTGCAAGGAAACCGGTACTCGTAGTATACTAAAGTACACCCACGTATACCGAAAGACTCAGGTGCGGAAAGTGCAGTTTTGGTTAATTGGAGAAAAACCAATTGGTTTTCTTATAGGTGCAGGTGCATACACAATTTAAATGAATATACAATAAAAGCGTATACCTAATCCCTTTTAACTGGCTGTTTGTTATCCGATGTAAATTCATTGACTCAGCCTCCTAAATTTCTTTCTCCAATCAACCGCACAGATGCAATGCCTTCGAACGGACACGAGCCGAAATTCTTAGTGAAAAATTGCAACCACACCTATCGATAGTATTTCATGAAATTATCTCGCTTTTTGAAGTCCACTTTTGGAATTCTCTTATGCTACCGCGACTTTCATTTTGAAAAATATATTTTTTATTCCTCGTCGACTGTATCGTACAGATATTAAAATGTAAAAACTGGGCGGGATATTTTCAGGTTAGATGTTCAAATACTATTGATAATATGCGCCAATCGAATGCGCAATACATTTCGTCATGCTAATCGCTGATCAGTTGAATTATCTACGATTAGCCAGTATCCGATAATTCTTTCCAAATACAGAGACAATCAAAGTCATTCCGTTTTTAAAAGGTGCGTGTCTGCAATTATATATTATAGATATGCAGTACAGAATCCGTTAACGACGAACGTCTCGTGTAATCAATTCTGTCGCTTCTGACGATAATCCAATCGCAGCAAGTTTTTACGAATTCTATTTGTTGACCAGTAAATTGTTTAATTTTGTTAATAATGACGCGATTGGATATCGTCATTTACGATAAAAACTACCGAGACTACTCGACAGTGCGCTGCTAATTTTTACGAGACATTTCGGCTTGCCAATATCGTATCAATAATCGAACCATTAAAATCGTCGTAAGAAATACACTGTATACTTTTATCGGCAATTCGTTAATCCTGGGACAAAAAAATTATTCAAATCAATATTTCTTTACGTCTTATACCTCTAGAATGTCTTATTGATTCTGTACCTAATTTGCAATCATTATCATTCTCAATTGAAGCATTAACTATTTTCACTCGGATTTCTCTCGTATTATAGATATTCGTCTCTAGTAAGAATGCTAGTCTAAAATTGTAATGGCGGTGTCGCTTAAGATTAAACGAAAAAAAAGGAGAGTAATAATTAAACGTAAGGGGAGTCCTGCAAACAGATGTATTTTTCATGGATTAACGAATTGGCCGGGCAAGTAATCTGGAGAACACGTCCAAAGGTAGTGTTGTTATTGTTTTCGTTACAGGGTTTAATATCCAAATCCTTATAAATAAGTTCTAATTAACGAATGTTTAGAACCGAACGCTGCGTATATTAAATACTTTACATGTAGACTTTGCGGCAATGTTCTCTGGATTAGAAGGTGCACAGGATTATACGATTATTCGCTTGGTGCAACAGGAAAGAGAGAAAGAGTGTGCGAAAGAATGAATGAGAGTGTATGAATGAAGATCAAGAGCCATAAGAACAGGAGAGTGCGAGAAAGAAAGAGAAAAAAATAAGACAAGAAAATTAATGAGAATGACCCAACACATTGGCTGTTCGTTTATAAATGAGTTCATTCGATTGAATCATCGCCTTAAAAATGTATACGAAGTAACAGTTAAGGTATCTAAGTAATAATCATATTAGAGGGTAACAAGTAAAAAAAATACAAGGTTTTTATGAAACAGCGAGATACGAGATAGAAGAGATGGAGATCCTGTGAGAGCTTGATAATATGAGTGAGTGAGTAAAAGTACCTATTAAAGAGAGAATGAGAGAGAGAGAGAGAGAGAGAGAGAG